ATGCAATGTACTTGATGATAACATTCTGTTTAGAGTTTCGTCTTTCTAGTGCAAGATAGAACATGAAGAGAAAAGAACGCAAATTTCCAGATGAACCGCCCAATAAAAAATTATAAGCCAATGAAAGGAAAGGATTTATATGTAAAATATAGAACTAGGATTTACATAATTGTTCAAAAAACTAAAAAATGAAGATGTATAAAGAGGGTTATCTTTAATGAAAAAAGCGATATATTTACTCTAGCCCATTTTTGAACACCACGATTTATGTTCCATAAAGTACAAGTCAACTTAAATTATATGCATAGATGCACCAAGTGTTACTTGCATCAATTTCTAGCAAAGCTCATAAAGAAGGTGTAAAACCCAAAATTTCGAGGAATAAAATAAGACATCTTTATTATTATTTCTACTTTATTTATGAATATACATATATATATGTTAAATAAAAGTTAGAAATTTGAAATAAGTCAAATTTGCTTACGGCTAAGGGCTGAAGGCTCCAATTAGAGGGGGGGGGAGCCTGCTGTCAGCTTGGGAGAGGCAGCAGAGGATCAGGCGGTGCCTGGTCCATAAGAGGAAACTGTGACCTGCATGGTTGTAGGCTGTGGAAGAAAGCAGTTCCCAGCCCAAGACTCGAGATTCTGCCGATTTGGTCAACTAATAGGCCAAATCGTGTGAGTATAAATTGAGGGTACCAGGTTGGAATCGTTACTCTTTTGAGAGAAGAAGGGAATCGTTGAAAGAGAGAAGCCGGAGTTCATACCAGCAAGAAACCCCCCTGCTTCCCGTTGTTTAGAGGTAAATAGTCGACCAAATTTATGATTTAAACAATGTTTAGTTATGGCTTTGGCCCTGTATAGAATCCTAGAAGGCTCACKTCCAAACCTTGTGTTTTGGGATTCGATTTCAAGGATTAAGATTTCATTTGTTAAACGCATTGTATCGCATCCTGCTTAGAAACCACCTTAGAGAATGTTACACAGAAGCTCTGCATAAGAGCTCTATATCAAGTGTGTTAGACAGAAGCTCTACATGAGAGCTTTGTGTCATGCTAGCCAGGAGCTCTACATGAGCGCTTCGTATCAAGTTATGTTGGACAGAGGCTCGGCGTGAGAACTCTGTGTCAAGTTATGTTAGACAGAAGCTCTGCATGAGAGCTCTATGTCAAGTTATGATAGATATAGGCTTTGCATAAGAGCTCTGTATCAAGTTATGAGACCACAGAAGGGCTCTGGTCCTGAATGAGTTATTTTCTAAGTATTATTTAGAACCAGAGGCTCTGGTCGCGAGACCAGAGGCTCTGGAGAAGAGACCACAGAGGGGCTCTGGCTCGTGAATTATTTTCCAAGTATGGTTGGAACCAGAGGCTCTGGTCGTGAAAGACCAGAAGCTCTGGAAGAGAGACCAGAGGGGCTCTGATCCTGCGTTGAAATATTTTCTAAGTGTGGCTAAGAACCAAAGGCTCTGGTCATGAAGACCAGAAGCTCTGGAAGAGAGACCAGAGGGGCTCTGGTCCTGAATGCAAATATTTTCTAAGTGTGATTTAGAACCAGAGGATCGATGGA